GGTGTGTGTGTGTGTGTGAGAGAGATTGAGGAGTCAGCCAGGTGTGTGTGTGTGTATGTGTGTGTGTGTGTGTGTGTGTGTGTGTTGGGGCTGAGAGGAGAAGCTGGCATGGGGTGGTTTCCACTGCTAAGGGGCCAAGGCTGGGGAACTCTGTTCCGTAGTGGCTCATCAATAGGACTCCCCTAAGCAGTCTCTGCCTGGCCTGCAGCCCTAGAGTGGAGGTCTTGACCCTTGACCTTGAGGGCCTGCCAATCTGGAGCCATGGGGCTGGTGAGAGGGCAGGGTTGCTGTGGGTGGGCAGGTGTGGGTGGGCAGGTGGGGGGTGCTGGGTCCACTCACTGCAGGTGACAGGACTTCTGAAATGACCAGGTTTAGCTATCCACACTTCACAGATAGGAAAATTGAGGCTGGCCAAGCAGAGGGAGACTGAGGTGATTAACTGGACAGGTTTACCTGGTCATATTCCAGAGCCCAGCGGTCATAGAAGAGGAGCTTTTGAGTCAGGTCGGTGATGCCATGGGACGCCCCAACCCGGGCCCGCACCGTGGGCAGGCTCCAGCTGTCTTCCTGAGCCATCCTCCTGTGAGGACACAGCCTTCAGTCCTCGGTCCTGCTCAGTGTCCCCTGTCCCCTTGCCCTCTCCCTACCCACCAGCCCGCCCATTCCATGCCTGTCAGGAGGAGGCCTGCCAGGTCACCCGCACAATTCCATTTTACAGCCCAGAGCACTGAGCACAGAGAGGGCGAGACTGACGGCTGGCGACAGGGCTGGGGAAGAGTATTCCTCCTGGCGGAGGGACCTGCTTCCCACCTCCCGCTAGGCGGAACAGCGGAGGGTCAGAACTCACCGTCAGCCTGAACGCCCGTGCGGCTGGACGCCGGAAGTCTGGCCCCGCCCACCCCTCGCTGATTGGCTTGCCTCTGGACAAACTACCCAATCAAACGAAAACAACGACGGCCCGCCCTTCTGCCAGCCAATGAACTCAAGGTTCTTGACCCTCCAAACCCGGAAGACACCCGAAGACACTTCCACGCCGCGCTGTTTTAAGACGGTGTCGGTACCCTCCTGGCGCTGGATGCTCTTTATGGCTCCTTCAAGCATTTAGATTGTGGGAGCCTCGGAATTCTTAAGGGCCAGAGAGGGACCTCAGACAGCCTTCATATTTAAGGTGCTCACCAAGGTCTAGGCAGTGCTGTCCAAAAGGAAACTTGGCGGTGATGGAAGTGTTCAATTTGGTAGCCACTTGACACCTGTGGCCGTTGAGCACGTGAAATGTGGCGAAATGCTACCAAGGAGTTGAATGTTCAATTTTATTCTGTTTTTTATAACTTTATACGTGGCTGCGATTAGCATCCTCCCTTTTGGAGAATGTGGGGGTGTGGGGAAAAGTGTATTTTGTATCTTCGTAGTGTCAGCCTCAGCACCTTAGCTTGGCTTGCTCCCCTGGGAGACTCTAAGGGAAGTTATTTGACTCGCAAAATCTTGACCCTACCCCAGACCCACAGAATCAGAATCAGGGCTGGGAGTGGGGAAGTGGGAAGTGGGGAGAAGGAAGAGAGGAGGGGGCAATGGTGGAGTGAGGGTGGGGTCCAGAAATATGCATTTTAACAAACTCTGGGTGATTTCTGTGCAGTTTGTTTCCAAAGTACCGGCCCTAAGAGCCCATCTACGGAAGAGGTTTGGGAAGTTGTGGTTGTTGACCCAGCAGGAGGTTATGGCAGCATGAGCTGAGGAGAGGTGACACGGCTGTGGAGAGTTGTGGATGCATTTCAGAAAGGTGCTAAAAAACAAAACTGAGTAATGTACATAGTTAATTGGCCTTATTCATTGATTTATGCCTTGGGCAGTATTCCATCTAGCAAGTAGAAAGGGGCTCAGAAGAGCTGTACAAAAATGGAACGCTTCTGTACATGGAAGATAGTGAGCTAAGGAAGAGATTGGATTGTTGAAGTGATTCCATTGTTTTTGGCCAGGTCACCTTTCTTTGGGGGACAAAAGGGTTTATCAGGCACCTCATCTCCCTAGTGTTGAGCAGGTAATTCCAGATCAACTGGTTAAGATTATATTCCTGGGAGGGGTTGAAACTACAATTAAGTTAGGTATGAACTCTCAGCTCGGTGATGTGGGCTCAGCACAAGTGACTCCATTGTGGCCCTGTTGTCTTTTTTAAGCAGCTGCTTAGGAACTAGAAGAAACAGGACCTTAATGATTGAGAGTCCATGGCATGGAGTGGTGTCAGGCTTCTGTAGCAACTGCAGTAACAGCAGGGAAGCCCAGGAGACAAGTAGGTTTGGGGTGAAGAGGCATATGAGCTGTTGGGGGATGTTGGGTATGCAGCGTCTGTGTGAAGATGTCAGGAAGCTGTCTGATGCGAAAATCTTGAGCTCAGGAGAGATGAGGCTAGAGATGCGACTCATGGTCATGGTCATGGGTGAGACGAGTGGTGACTGGAGTAACTGGTGCGAGTAAGAATGGCTCAGGTGGGAGGAGAAAGGGAAGAGAAGAGGACTGAGCCTCCAGCTCGGGGACCTCCTATACTGCAGGGCAGAAGCGGATTACCTAGAGTAGTGGAGAAATCCCAGAGGAAGTTGGTAAGGGTGCCAAGAACAGAGAGTCTGCAAAAGGTGGGCGATGGCCAATTCTGCTCCAGAGTGCTGAGAGGTGGAGTAAATGAGGCTTAAGTAGTGAGCACTGAGTTTCAGGACGTGGTGGTTTTTGGTGGCTGCCACCGAGGTTGCCTCTACTGGTGTCAGACTACAGGTCCCATTCCCACTTGATGTAGGTGTGGCCATGAGTATGGGCCACAGATCTAAATCATAAATACTTCCTACGGGACCCCCTTGGAGTGGGCTCCAAGCACTCAGAGGAGAGCAGGGCTACAAGATGACGGTGTGTGGACCCTCAATGATCGCATGGAGCAGTGCCCTCCCCACCGACCCGCGCTGGACAGTAACAGACCAGTCATAAACTTTCATTGTGTCGAGCCACTGAGATTTCAGGGCTCGCCTATTCCAATGGCTATTATCATTTCCCTTTATTAATACAGCGCCCATGGCAAGGGCAGTTTTGGGAACTAGATGAAAAGGCAGAAATCTAGGTTTCAGCAGCTACCAGCCAAGATCTAAACCTAAATCTGCCTCAGCCCACAGGGGTACAGTCATCACGTTGTGAGACCTTTGTGATCATCTACAAATAACAGGACGCGGGCATTTCAGTGGCCTAAACAGAGAAATTCGGAGGCTTCTAAAGGAAGCAGAGACTGGATAGTGTAATCTAGGGCTTGGTTATGCCATCAGGGACACGGGTTCTTGTTATCCTCCTTCGCTGCCACCTTCTGCATAGGAGACTTGTCCTCAAGTCTGTTGCCTCACTGTGCTCCAGCAGGAAGAAGGGGACAGGCCAGATCGTAGCAGTGGGGAGAGGAGACCAGGTCCACAGCAAGCTCAGGAAAACAGCTACAACCCAGAGCAGCTGCGGGCTGCACAGCGGGAGCCGCTAGGCCATGGGGACAGGACAGCGACTTCCCTTCCTCTGGTTCTACTCCTGCCCTGGACACTGCACCTTCCTGTCTTCTTGGTGGCCTCCCGCTCCGCCTCCTCTCTCTCTAAGTGGAGCCCCAGGGCTCGCCATGGGCCCTCTTTTCTCCATCCACACCCACTTCCTAGGTGATTTCATCTAGTCCTGTGGTTTTAAATACTATTTATATGTCCATGATTCCCCAGTGGGTGACTCCTGGTCTGACTCTCCTCTGAACTCTGGACCTTGTACCTGATGTTTCCCTGTAAGGCCACAAGCCTCTTCCTGGCAACACACCAAACCTAGCACCCTGGCTCTGCATTGCAAGACCCCTTCCGGGCTTCCCATCTGGGCAGATGCCCCGAACCAGTCCTGAACCACTGTGCAGTCAGGGCCCCCCACCCCATATTCTGTCCCTCAGCAAATCCTGTGGCATCCCCCTCCACCTGTGCCACCTGGTGCCATCCACCTCCGTCACCCAGATTCTGTAATGGCCTCCTCACTGGCATCCACAGACTCCTCTCTTCGGCCATTTTCTTCACAGTAGCCAGAGGTAGTATTATTATTTTAAAACACTGTATGGAAAATTTCAAACACATACATAAGAAGAGATTAGTTTAATAACCTCCATGTATTTATTCGTCACTCAGCTTTTTTAAAGTGCTCTAATGGGCTTGATTAACAGATTTGTGAGTTGGGCAGCAGCCCATCTAGTTAATTAATAGAAGAGCACTGTCTCATCACTCTGTTTTGAGAGTTAACAAGACATGCCCAACCCAAATGATGTTTTCACAGTTTTCATTTGATGAATTTGCCCTCTGGCTTAAAACCTGAAATCCAAATTCCTGTCAAACTCATGGCTAACTTCTCTGGTTCTGTCCTCATTCCATTATCATGGCCTCTGCTGATATGAACATGTCATGGTTGCCTCAGGGCCTCTGCACTGCTTTTTTGGTGGGGAGGGGATGGAGGGTACACATGGCTCTTCCTTCAGCTCTTTTCTCGACTGGCGTGTTCTCAGCCTTCAGGTATTCGCCACCCAGGATGAACAGGTGCTAGCACTTTGTCATGATTGCTTCAAAGTACTGAAAGTAATTTCATTGCAGATGAAACTGACATTCCCTTTGACTTCCTTCCTCCTCCATCTGCTGCCTCAGGGTAGCAGCTACCACCTTGAATGGGTGAGGACTACCTAGGTTTTGTTTTTATATTCTTACTAGGGAGAGCAGGCATCAAGAACAACATATACTATTGTCAATGGACCTGAAAAGCTTTCTATAAATTGTTTCATTTTATAGTCCACTCGGTAACTTTTCTTTTCCATTTGGCACTGTTTTGGGCCACCTTTAATGCCTATCTAGCACTCATTTTAACCACTGCTTAGTCATCCCTCACACGGATCCACCCAGTTCATTTATTCACCTCCTTCTAAGAGAAATAAAAACATCACCCCCAGTGGTCCTGCACGTTTCTTCATTCACAAGTGCATGTTTCTGGAAGGAATGCTTTTCAAACTTGGGTTTGCCACCCACTAGGGGGTAGTGAAAACAATTTGGTCAGTTGTGAAATAGAATGACTAGAAAATAAAGAATTCCATTGCACACAGAAAGGTAATTAGTGTTGCTGGCTTCTTGTTTCATTTTCACGTGTGTGTAATGGGTGGCTTGTGCAATACTTTTCACACCGTGGCTCACAACTTTCGGGCCTGAGAACCTGTCTGGAGCAGCCTGGCTGCATGGTCCCTGTCTAATGTTCTGCTGCCCCGCGGACTCATCAACACAGGTGTATTGTCAGATGTTTTTGTTTTTTGCAAATGAATATGAGATTTTATCTTCTGGTGGTTTTAATTTACATTTCCCTTCATTGCTAATAAAGGGAAATCTTGGGCTTCTTTATGAATTGTTTTGGCCTAAGTATTGGGTCACGTGACTTTGATCTTCTGTATCTTTATAGGAATTCCTTAGATATTCTGTATCTGCCGGACGCTGATCTTTGCATGGTGACACAGGTTGCAAATATTTCTTCCAGCCTGTCACTACCTTTTAGCTTTGATGGTGGAGACACTACCCCAGATTCAGAAAGTAGGAGTTTATAGCGTGGTTAACAGTGGCAACTTGGGCTGAGGCAGTGGTTGTGGGGAGGTGGGGGCAGAGGCCAGATGGCCCATGACTATTGGGGGTGATTAGGTGCCTGTGGAACTTCTTTGAACAACATGGTTTAATTGGTAAAGTGAAGGGGGGAGCTGAGGAATGTTTTCTCCCCTTTTAATAAAAATTGTGTATATTTAATGTATATTACAACCTGATGTTTCCATATGCATAAATATTATGACATGGTCACCAGAACCCAGCTGCTTAGCCTGTCCACCAACCCGAGTGGTTGGTGACTTTTATATCTTGCAGGTGGCTGACATATATGCATTTTTTTTTGGTCTATTTATCCAAACTCTTACTAAGGGATAGAAAAATGTTTTCCAATAATGGGGATGGTTTGGCAACTTTTTATTGTCTTTTATGATCCTCCAAGCATTTTTATTTTGTGTTAAACATTAAACAAATTAATTTTGGGGCCCTCCCTGGTGGCGCAGCGGGTTAAAGCACAGCACTAAGAAGCTAAAGCCACTTCAACATGAGTTCGATCCCTGCCCCGGAGGTGACCCACATGGCGCAGCAGACCTCTCCTGCCCCACCCGCTGCTCCCCTCAGCAATGTACTTGGTCAGTCAGACTGTTTTGCTCCTCACTCTGTCTCTGAATCCTAGCACCACTCCTGCACCTCTGGCCTGTACCCCAGTTCTGTATGCTTAAACAAATAAATCTTTAAAAAATTAATTTCAAGGTAGCAATGATCCTTCTTTATATTTATTTTATTTGAAAAAAATCCTCAAGATCTAATCTTGGGCTCCTAGAGAATTAATTACCTACAAGCAGTTTTGTTGAATTGAGTATTTCCTCACATTATTTTATGAATTAATAAAAATTGTGCTGGGGGGTTTACTTCCATTTTGCAAATTTGCACATATTTTAAAGCAATCTTGCCTGTAGCTCATTTTCTTTTAAAAAAATCCCTGAATTCCTTTCCAACCACAGATGCTGACTTCATTTACCCACCTGGTCCCACGCCAAAGCTTGGGGCCTGGTACTGCTAAAGACACCCCACAAGCACATTTAATCCATTCCTCCCCACACCGCACCTGGCAGATTCCACAAAGTACACCCCAGTTATACAGATGAAGTAACTTGCGAGGTGGGTGGAGGGTGGGGAGAGCGGGGGTAATAGTGTTGCGTTTCAGATCAGTTTAAAGCCAAGTCTGCCCAACTCGGAAAACTTTGCCCTAACCAGGTTAAATTCGGTCTGTTTTTAAACACTTTTGCATTTCAGCGACTGCAATAAAGTCACTTTTAGTACAAAAATATAAAGTCCAGTAAGCACAAAAGCATATTTACAACTTCTTGTGTATTTCTGGAAAAAGATGAAGATTTGAGAAACAGTGAAATTTTAACCTTGGAACATGTTCAGAGGGAGAATATTGGTTATTACCCAAAGCCTTCTCAGTGTTTTTTGCCTCCAGCAACCCAGACCTGACAGACCTGCATTTGGCGAGCTCCTCGGCACATAACATTGTTGTCACAGGGAAACTGGCCTCTCGAGCTGAGAAGACGACAAAATAAGCAACTACAAACTTTCCTTGCT